AGCATCTAAGAGCTCTAAAAACGTGACCGTCCGCCATATTGATATGTAAATATCAAAAAATGTCTGCAGAACTCTAGACTCTAAACGTCTTCGTAATTGTAAAGGTGTTATTTCGGATTCCTCAACGGTTAATATTCGTTAAAATTAGAAAATAAGATTGAGTTCAATGTAATAGTCTCCACTTTTGTTAAGACTTAGACATTTCTCAATAAACATCTGATACTCTTAAGAAGTTTGAAAGAACCTTTCAGTGGAAGTTGCGTGATAATTTCTGACTGCCGGGCATTTAGTCTATTTGAGACCGTGCCCGGCTGCCGGGCATTTAGTCACAGCCAAAATATAAAAGTGACAAGCTCGCTCCTCGTAACACACTCCGGTAGCAAGAAATCGTTTGTATTCCTAAATTGTGTGATATCTAAGGGGTTGGGAAGCATCTCAATTTTTATATGTGTTCATTCAGAGGTTCGCCATAATTTATTTAAAAACACACCTAAGAACGCTTTCTGAAATTGGTAAAAAGTACTCTTTCTTTCTTAATGGGTGATATTTCTCAAGTCCAGACCAGAGCCCAGTTGTATGTAGGTTGGATAACGCTATCCAACAGATAAATCGCTATCCGGCGGATAAGTGAATGCAAAACATGTAGCGTTGTCCACCGTATAACGATTTATCTAACGAAAAAGAAAAGATCGTAGGACAGAGCTTTTAGAATACACTAATTGATACTCTAAACATTTTAAACGGCTAAAATCTGGTAAATGATTCTGTCTAGTGAGAAAAGGTGAACAAAACGCAACGAATACCACCTTGATTAGCGTTCGGTCAACGTGTTAGTGATTAACTCTTTTTGAAAAATTGATTTCTGTTCTTTTATATTTGAGTTTAGAGAACTTAAACTAGTTCAAACCTGTATGAACATTTCAAACCAAACTACATAATTTTATTTAGCGTAACCGGCGATATCAGCACTAGACTTCGGACACTCCTCCCTCCTTTTCCCTCCTTTCACGAAGCCTGTGAATGGCATAGAATCTACAAGCCCATTATTTCTATGGGCACACGCTTTTTTTTTTTCGCAGCTGGCGCGGTTTTCGCGTGATACAAACAGGTCTCTTAGCATTCAGTAGGAAATTCAGATAAAGTCTCGACACTTGGTCTTGTTTATTGCAGTGTGGTACTTCATTGTTGGAACAAGAACTACAAAATAGGTTTGCTAGTCTAATTGACAAGTTTAAGAAGTATAATGAGTGGGGGCCTTTTTCTCGAATGTCTAAAGAGACCTGTGAAGATGTTCTGTTTACATTCAAGATGGGCTTTTCAAAAGTTTGAAAATTATAAAGTAAAACTATCCGCAAAAGATAGAAAATGGACTGGCTACTTCTCTGCTCTTTAAATATTAACTATAAAATATGGTTTGGGGTCCGTTAAGTTACTGGTACTTTCAAGAAACAAGCCCCTGAACGTAATACATGAAGATGGCCCTACCCCTTTGGCGAAAATTTCTTTTTGACCTTGGTAGGAAGATAATAGTCTTGCTGCAGAATCAGAAAAAAAAAAAACTGGGGTTTGATCTTGATC